GAACTACAAAAAGGCCTCAACGAAAACAAATGGCCTAGCAAGTGGTTGTTCACTGATACCCTGGAGTACAAGATACAATCCCCTTATTGTGCTTTCAACAAAGGCACCGATCATGCCGATGTGCTTATGTACACTCTTTATTTAGTTGAAGTTTCTCACTCTTTCGTTTCATCAGCTACAGCTGAGCAGGATAAAGAAATGCCAAGCCATATACATACATAATTACATACGTATCCTTTATTAAAGTGTCTGGTCGTCCATCCAAAATAAAAATGATATTATTAATAGCGACAATAATAATAATAATAATAATAATAATGATACAACTAACAGATACAATACTACTACTGCTACTGATACAAAATTCTAACAACTAACGAAAGCAAAGATGAGCGAAAAAGATATAAGGCCATGAAATACTATGTTAGAGCTGTTCAATGAAAAAGAGAACCTAAATGTTATTCAATTAAATATCATTTGTTTTGCGCGTACACTACGCCATCTGCAGGTACATGTACACATTTGGATTTCAGTTTAATTTTCGACAGATAACAGCTAGTTTTTCAGCTGGAAGACGTTAACAGTTAGTGGTTATCGATATGCTGGTGTTCCTGGTTTAAGTACAGGTTCAATAAACTTGATTTGGTCACAGTAGNTCACTGATACCCTGGAGTACAGGATACAATCCCCTTATTGTGCTTTCAACAAAGGCACCGATCATGCTGACGTGCTTATGTACACTCTTTATTTAGTTAAATTTTCTCACTCTTTCGTTTCATCAGCTACAGCTGAGCAGGATAAAGAAATGCCAAGCCATATACATACATAATTACATACATATCCTTTATTAAAGTGTCTGGTCGTTCATCCAAAATAACAATGATATTATTAATAGCGACAATAATAATAATAATAATAATAATAATGATACAACTAACAGATATAATACTACTACTGCTACTGATACACAATTCTAACAACTAACGAAAGCAAAGATGAGCGAAAAAAAATATAAGGCCATGAAATACTATGTTAGAGCTGTTCAATGAAAAGGAGAACCTAAATGTTATCCAATTAAATATCATTTGTTTTGCGCGTACACTACGCCATCTGCAGGTACATGTATACAGTTGGATTTCAGTTTAATTTTCGACAGATAACAGCTAGTTTTTCAGCTGGAAGACGTTAACAGTTAGTGGCTATCGATATGCTGGTGTTCCTGGTTTAAGTACAGGTTCAATAAACTTGATTTGGTCACAGTAGGAAAATTTTGCTTTCATTTTAGTCGTGTACTTACATGTAGTAGCGTAGTTGATTGTGTCATTGTCAACCCAAGGGCGTGCGTGGCGCTTAAACCATGCCTTGCATGATGCGCAGAACGTGTGCACACTAACAAAAGAAGGCACCGTCCTTTATAAGAGTTTTTATAGCATGAAGCAACTATACGTATCACAAATACTCCCCCTAAATGGGCAGGTAGTCTATTGCAGGTAATCCCCCTGCATTTTAGACTGTC